GAAAATTTGCACCATATGGCAACACTGCCGTGATCCACCACGGTTTATTCAAACTCAAGAGGATTTCATGGTAAAAAATATTGAAAATGCAACGTAGAAACTCCTTGAACTTTAACAACCGCAGCCCTACATTGTGCTAAAGAAAGACAAAGTGCCCACAATTTTTTATGTATGCAACACGGACATCCCGAAGGCACGAATAGTTGCATCCTCGCCCAGCCATTGGAAAAGCCGGAACGCCCTCAATATTTTCCACTAGTGGTGACGAAGTGTGTCACTCATTGCATTCATACGTCGTCGTTGCACGAAGATAGGACATTCTGAGTACATAATCAAATCGAAAAAAAGGAAATAGGTAAATTAATAATAAATATTATGGAGACTATTCTTGCAGCAAGTACTCACCTGACTTTATCGGCAGCTACGCACTTAACATTTTCTGAATCTTCTCATTGAATTTACTTTGAAATATGTAACTGACGAACTTTCGTGCGTGGCAGCGTTGCCAAATAGTGCAATTTGCGAGACCATTGGCAAAAACGAGCAAAATCACGACCTATATCGTAATCATCGCTGTTTGCTGAGCGACAAATTGACTTAAATTTAAGAATTCCCTGACTTTTCAGATATGTTGAACACAGGACCGGATTTACCTACTTGCCGCCCCCTTCTCATTCGTTTTGAAAAATCAATGAAAACCATCAAGTAAACGTGCCGGAGGGGGAGGGGTGCATAAGACGCGTTTACTCGTGTTGGACACAGTTTTTGCGAAAGCCCTGTCAACACTATTAGCAAAAGTTCCCGGAACTTGGCGCGAAAGTTAAGTTCCGTAAACCTATCTGTGTGGACAAGGCCTTCCATTTATAAAAAGTGAACGAAAAAATTATGAATGAACAAACATAAATGTGGTTTAACCGCGTGCGCTGAACACACTGTGTTTGGCGCAATGCGTGAAGTATTCATGCAGTCTTGTAGGCGCTATGCGTTTCACGTCGAGCGCTGCTAAACGCAGTGTGTTTGACGCAGTGCGTGCAGTATTCATGGAGTCTGGTAGGCGCTATGCGTTTCTCGCCGACCGCTGCTGACCGCTCTGTGTTTCACGCAGTGCGTGCAGTATTCATGCAGTCTTGTAGGCGCTAATATGTGTTACATGCCGACCGCCGCGGCAGCGCCGTGGGCTTCTCCTTTTCATCTCAAGTTCTTGTCGTCATCCCTCTCTATGCGCCGCGCCGTTCCAGACCAAATTCCGTGTTCCTTTAATTAGTATTAGCTCGACAAATTAAAGGTGTTGTCCATTGTATCACAGAAAGACGACAAAATTGGAAATTACTGTACACTCAGGAAATTAGAAATTTTGTCCCCTTTTCTCATTTGTAATTTTTTTTTTCTGAATCTGTTTTTTTTTTAACCTACATTTAAATAAATTGCAAAATTTTGCCGTCCTCTAAAGCCGCCATGGGCCGCGGCCCATGTGGCCACCCCCTAAATCCGGCTCTGGTTGAACATGGAATGGTTTCTGATAAAAATCTCATCACAATTAATTCTGCGCTCGAAGTGAAAAAATTAAATTGATTGGCCGAAGAGAAAAATTTCCGCAGCAAAATTCNACAGGCGGCGAAAGGGTCCCGGGACACCGAAAACGGGCGTATCGTAATATGTCTAAACGCCCTTTGGAAAAATATCTTTGAGCAACTGGACATCATTGGATGTAAGCAGGACCTCCAGGATTTTCTTTCACTTTCAAATTTCCTGAAAACTTTCGCTGGCCGCTTCGATGTTGTCAGATTTTTTTTTTAAAATTTTCACTTCTAGAAAAATGCATAGGAAGAGGGACATAGAAATTGCTCAAACTCTCTCGAAGGGCACCGTCTGAAGTCTTCGAGGCGACACCGCTACTCGTCAAAACCCCCGACCGCATCCAGCAAATTGGCAACATTTTTTTCCTTAATTTAAACCTATGGAAATGAATCGATTCTTGGAGGGGCCAGGTGCTCCAACAATCATCGATTATTCAACATAGGTTTAAATGGAGGCAATGCGGTGTTGCCAAATTGCTGGATCAGAGTGTCTACTTGAACAAGCTGGCCACGAATCAGTGCGTTTTCGGTGCTTTTTCAGTACATTCCCAAGAAATTCAGTACCTCAACAGAAAAATACAGTACTTTTTCGGCACCTCCAATTGACGGAATTCGAAAAATTTCTAAAATTTCAATTTCCCGCTCAAATTGCGACAAAACTTACAAGTAAATGAAAAAATTCCGCGCCTACTTGCGATATTCTTCAATACTTCCGGACCGCCCTTAAAAAATCAGCACTATTTCCGGAATTGTAGACACCCTGTGGATCCGCCTCTGCCCGACCGCTCCTACGAATTTCCCCATTCTCCAGAACACCGGAAGTGCTGTTTCCATGTGACTTCCTCTGTTCTTGGGCGACACCAAAGCAGAGCTTTCGAGTTCGGAGGTGGTCCCACGGCCTCAGGCCGACACGACAGGCAGTTGTGTGGCTCGCATAAGCGGAGGGCGAAATGAACCTCGGCGCTGACAGCCTTGACGAATGTTTACATGGAGATAGTGCGGCAGTTGCGGCGGGGACAGCGACGGGAGCGTGTGGCTGGGCCGAGGGGTCACTGCGCCACGCTGAGCAGCGATTAGGATTAACACCTTGGCTTCCACTTCCAACCGAGCCAAGCGACACCATCCCACTTGCCCGGCCCGCACAACGCCACATTTGCAGTTCGCAAAAACCTGGCCCAAGTGACGAAAAATGAATACATATCGCACACAGCACAGACATAGGGGTCCTTCATAAATTACGACACTCGACGAGAGGGGGGCTGTGCTGCCGTGATAGCGAAGAGAGCAGTAAGTGGATTTCTGTATGAGCCATGGTTATCACATGATTGTGTGGGTCTCGAGGCTCATCCCGGCGTGCACTTACTGCTCTCTTCGCTATCACGGCAGTATGGACCGATGATAGGAGAGGAATCTGCCGCTTTGCATTAGACATGTGACATCATACGAAAATTCTCATCGGATCGGAGGCGAATGGACTCTCTCCGCTCAGGGTTTCCGTCAAGTCTTCATTTTTCAATACCCTAACTTTTTTGCTTTATCACTTTCCTCACTCAAAATTTTTCAAGTTCCCTGATTTTTCCTTGACTTTTCCTGGCATTCAAACTTAATTTTCTCACAATTTTTTTTCCGACTTTTGCAAAACTTTGGACAAAATTTCCACTTCAAAAAATTCAATGTTTGAAAAAAGGACTCAAAAGTTGTTCATGCTCTCTCCAGGGGTGCAGAATCTTCAAAGCATCCACATTTTCACACGCGGGCTTTTCACATTTTTTTCATCGGTTTTCCACAAAATTTCCCACCAATTTAAAAAAGATGACCTTTTTCCCTGTTTTTCTTTGACTTTCGACTAATGATCCTCCAAAATGTTCCTTCCTCCGACGCTTTCATGCGCCCCGGCAGGCATGTGATCAGGCATTTTCTGCACCCCCTGGCTCTCTCGAATGGCACCGACTGAAATTGCTATACCAACGCACAGCTTGCGAAATCCTCTGACTTCCTAACATTTCCAGACTGCCAGAAACTCTGTCACAGGTATCCTAGTAATCTTGGCTATGGGTAGGGAGTCTCGGCAGGCTCATCCCCCCCCCTCCTCCCATAGAAGTTGTGATCATATGAACATAGCTGCTTCATGACAGAACGCCCTGAGGGATGGTTTCCCAAACGGACAATACAGACCTGGTCATGTAAACTTTAACTCTCCTACAATATCTATGCCAATACTGGGTCAGCTTCAACAGTTAGAGCTCCTTCCAGATATTAAGTTATACTGGCATCCAAATGGCATCACTAGTGAGTGCCAATACCAACAAGATATGCTTCTTGTCTCAATGTAAGATGAACAATTTCAAAAAGTTTCCCATCATATTGAAAAATATCAACAAAATATTGTAGGTTGTACAATTGCAGATCGTAAAAATTTTCCCTTTAAGTGTGAGTAAATCCAAAGAACAGTCACAGTGAGAATTAAGTATGAATAATAGACAGAAGACGTTATGATGATTTCCATTAGATGCGCTACTTAAATTTTACACAGGAACAAATAATCGCATGACCATGGAATCTTATAATTTAGAGGATTCCAGGGGAAACACGAATTGAGTCAGTTATCACAAACATTAGGACATGATCAAGGACGTAAAAATCTTGATAAACGAACTCATCAAGGAAAGAAGTTGGGCCAAAGTGATTTCTTTTCACATCCACCATAGAGAGCGACATGATAGGTGCAATGATAAAGCAAACTTATATAATCTTATCAGATTCTTCTTTATACTAAGCGCACCCTAACAGTCCCACTGACCTTCCAAGATTGTTTAGCGTTTTGTCGCGACACTTAGTATTCAAATGTAAACACGCGAGTCACTAATACCTAATTGAAATGGAATCTAACAACACCAACCATTAGGTATCAAGTAGTCTTGTTTTCAAAATGCCTATATTTAACAAAGCTCTTAATATTTTACATATTCAGACAAATGGTAATCAAGTAAGTAGTGGTATAAATTAGTCTTGAGCGTAAGTCAGAGAATAAAGCTCAAGGTCATTCAAAAAGCTCCTAAAACCCATAATGTAATACTGAGAGACAAAAACCTGGGTAGACATTATTCATGTCTACAATATCACAACAAACAGTTCATAACAGCACCATCATGGCATGAGGTGGTGAATTCCACAGGCATGTTGATGACCTTTGAGAGCATGTGAAGGAAATAGAAATTTCAAGGGAACAGCCATCAATAAAAGAAAAAGTGACTCGAAATTGATGAATTTGGTTAGTTCGTTTCGGTAACACGAAATCATCCCGAAACTATGCAGTTGAGTAAATATTAGAAGTATTGCGTCTAAGTTTAGCCGGGAGGTAGGTCAGCCATTTTCTGATGAAAGCATACGAATCAAAACACTACGGGATGGACGGAATTTTACCTCAAATTGCCATTGAGCGGCTTGTAACAACTGTTTCGCTTGCTCCCGAGCACATCCAGCGGCCAGAACGAATTGGTTTATCATTACTTGCTCTCGAAGTGAATCCATTTTTCAATAAAAGACAAAGATTTTGACACCGGAATCACGAGGCAGACACAACAACACAACACAAAAACACTGATAAAATAATCAAAACAAAACTTGTTTTCATTCCATTCAGTGACGTCAACTCTGGATTCTGATTGGCCAACGCGAGAACAATTTCTCTCCCCTTACCCCTCGTCGTCA